CTAAAAATATATATAAATTTTTTTATTATTACGTGATATATATATATATATATATATGTGTGTGAACTATGCAAAAAAAAATTCATATTATATTTTTTTATATAGTAAAACTAATCTTATGTTGCATAAAAGAGTGTATCTTATGTTGTGAAACAAAATCAAGGTGAGTCCTATATTGATTTTTTTTTAGTGGGACCCACCTTAATTTTGTTTCACAACATAAGATACACATTCTTATGCAACATAAGATTAGTTTTACCCATTTTTTTATTATTCATGGATTTATTAATTACTTAAAGAATTGATTATAATAATATACAAGCATGAGTGTGGCGGTGAGTCTCTTCCTCTTCCCTTTTATTAATAGTGACGTTTCTCTCTCTCTCTCCCCCTCCCTTCTTAATTGTGGATATAGTTTAAATGCTTTGCATCAAGAGCTGTTTAGTGCCAAAACTAAAGTAAGAGTACAAGAGAAAAGAAAGCATGGAAACAAATAAGAAGAAATGTCATCAAATTTTCTTTCTGCAACTGCAACTTGAACTGCTCTTCTTCTTTTGTGTTTTGGTTTGGGTTGGAGTAACAACCAACAATGGTGAAGGTGTTGGCGATGAAGTCCTTCTTCTTCGTCTTTGCTTCTCTTTCTCCCCTCTTCGTCAGATCTAACTGTTTTTTATTTTTTTTAAAAACTGAGTCAACTCGAAAAACTTGTCAAGTCAACTGTTTCTACGTTTCAACACTACACTACGTTTGGATCGTTTCGACTCAAGACCCATTTCAACTACCGTTTTGACTCGATTTTGGTCATAAAAACATAGACACAATCCGTTTTTATGTTTTGACACTATGTTTTTTACAACACTGTTGTGAACCATTAACACTATGGTAGGGTTCTCATTGTTAGAAAAATGTGGCATTAAAATATGGGTTTTATAAGAGTTATGGTGTAGGAAAAGTGATTGTGTAATATTATAGAGATTCGTTTTGCGTGCCTTAACTTTTTTAATTTTTTTGTTTTAAAAAGTGCGAGTCCCATAAAATGTTGTGTGCGTAGGAAATTTGATGGTGTCATGTTAAAGAACAAACTACAATCCCTTAAAATATATGGTGACAGTTGAATGATATAGCTCTTTGACCAATTGGGGTTTTTTGTGATTTTAATTTATCAATTTAGTATTTGGTTCAAGGTATTTACGAATGAGGGTCATTTAGTGACGCGAGGGGGACCCAACGTCACTGAGTGCCGCTACCAACCCCCCGCGCCACTCATACTTTTTTATTTTTATTTTTACTTTTTCCTATTGAGTGCCGCCCCCTCCCCCGGGGCACTCACAGAATTGTGCCAAGTGGCACAATCTGGTTACTTCTATTACCGTAAAATTTCAGAAAACCATAACTTTTGACTCGGGTATCCAAATCAGATGATTTTTTTTTATTTCACATAACTTTTCGAGATCTACGCAATGACATCTCATTTAACATATTTTATCTCTCACAAACATAATTCAAATTTGTAAAAAAGTGTAATTAGCGTTGCAAATTTGAACTATATTAATGAAAGGTAAAATATATCAAATGAGGTGTCATTGGTAGATCTCGAAAAGTTATGTGAAATAAAAAAAATCATCTGATTTGAATACCCGAGTCAAAAGTTATAACTTTTCGAAGTTTTACGGTAACAGGAGTAACCAAATTGTGCCACTTGGCGCAATTTTGTGAGTGTCTCAGGGGAGGGGGGCGGCACTCAATAGAAAAAAAATAAAAATAAAAAAAAGTGTGAGTGACGCAGGGGATTGGTAGCGGCACTCAATGACGCTGGGTCTCCCTCGCGTTACTAAATGACCCCGTTCGTAAATACTTTGAACCATATATCAAATTGGTAAATTAAAGGAATTAAAACCGGTGAAAGAGCCTGAATGATATTCCAGTTAGAGCAATATCTAAAGTTGACTAAAGGTCAGTAAAAAAAAAAAAAAAGTTGACTAAAGGAACTATAGAATAAAGAAGGTTTAGAAAGAAAAGAAAATGAAACTAATTTGCAAACGTCATTTTGAGTCAATATTCTTCGTATTCTAACATTTCGCCATCAACCTTTTATCCTATAAGCAAACTTAAAATCGTAAATTCGAGCCATCTTAAACTACGGTGGTGTACTGGATTAATTTGTGGGTCAACAACGGTCAAAACTTTTTTTTTTAATCGATTACGTTCATGATGTAATTGATTAAACCTTCGGCCAATGTCAAATATAGAAAAATTGGTGAAATATTTTGAGTGAGGGATAAATTAATTATTTTTCAATTAATAAAATGTGTACAATGATAAAAAAAGCCATCGTTTTGGTCTTACAAGAAAATGTCCAATCCACCTGATGAAGGCAACTCAGTTGGTAATTTGGCGCTGAGTTAGTGGGGTTGGATATGTGTTCGATTCCCGCTGAATGCATTCTTGGGGAGGGGGCTGAACCTTTAGCCATCACTGTTCCCCCGCACTCCGGATTAGTCCCATAGCCGGCTCAAAGAGTCGAAGCTCGTGGGGATACCGAAAAGAGCCAACTCGTCTCAAAGAGATAATTAGGGTTGGGTAACTCCAAAAAAAAGAAAAAAGAAAATGTCCAATCCTTAGATATTTCAATGATTTTTAGTTACTATAAATAAAAAGTGTTGAAATGATTAGATGAGAAATAAATATTCTATCCATAATTTTTTATTTTTTTTATATAAATTATTTGGTATCCGTTTTCAAGGACTAATTCATATTCGAGCCATCAAGGACAATAGCGAAAATAAAGTTCTCCTTTTTATGTCGAGACTCAACTCTAGACTATTAGTTAAATCGAAACACTCTTGGTTACAAAAAAAAAAAAAAAAAAAATCGAAACAATCTTTACAAGTTGATTTACATGCTTAGTAGTCAATTTTAAATTATTTAATATAGGAATTATATTATAGTGTAAAGCAACTACAACATAAAAAAAAAATAACTACAACATTTGACTCAATTAACAACTAAGCTCTATGTAAACAAACTTTACTACAAGTTATAATTTCACATATTGTGGCCAATTTCACATCATCAATTGTTTGAGCACTGATTTGTAGTTAGGACACAAAAATTTCTTAGGTACAACAGATGTACAGATCCGCTGCACCGAAATTTTGTTCCTAGAACACCTGTGAGAGTGAGACCAAAAAGTAGCATGCCTTATTCCCTTCTTAGATATTGTAATACACTAATACTGACAGAATTTGAATATTGTGCATTCACTTAATAGAATTTACATTTTGAACTTCTGCAAGAAAGTATCAAATGTTAAATAATTGAGGTGTCCCTTTAGGAGCATAATATATAAATGCTTTTGAGTAGAAATGTTCAAGAAATCAAAACAAGAAAAAAAATACAAATTTCATTTGCTTATTTTATTTATTTTAAACTAAATTATATAAAATAATTAATAATTAAAGCAGAATAAATAAGTAAATATAACAAAGGAAATTTAATTATTATATTATGTATATCCATTTCATTAAAAAAAAATCCAAGCTAACAAAAAATAATTAATAAATAATACAAGGATCTTATGTTTTAGATAAAGCACAAAATATCATGCTGAACTATGGATGGTTAAGAGAAAAAAGGTAAATAGGAATACAAAAAGAAAAAGAAATTGAATGAAATAATAGTATGTGAAATTTCAGTTTAAGAAGTAACAAAACTAGTTATACACCTGAAATGATGTAGAACATTAACACAAAGGGATTCTTTTTTATTTTATTTTTATAATATATTGGGAGATGGAATCCTGCAAGCATGCAATGATGCAAAGGAATATGTTGCACAATAAAAACCTTTAGCATCACTATCACTGTCTTCTATTCTCTGAGACTGGGATAAGTGCTTATTAAGTTCAAAATTAATTAACAAAATGAATTATTTTATTTTATTTTGGTAACAAAATGAAAATTTTACTTGTACCCAAATTTGTTGCTGCTCAATTTTATAAAAACTCGTAAGAAACTAATCGGACTGCAAGTAGCAATAATCGAATGAATTAATGTTTAGTAATATACGAAGTAACAGCATACTATATCAAAGAGTCAAAGAAGACTGTAATAAATAAGTGATGTCAAGTATTTTTATTCAACATGCTTAATAAACGAGTTTAATAAATTGTCAAAATCATAATAAATAAATAGTTTCAGATTTGAGTAAATTGACACCCACTGCTTGAAGCACCAGTACTAACAAAGCACAGACAAAATCTTTAAATAACGGTTTCACAAAAGAATCTCATGTTTAATAATAATAATAACAATAATAATAATAATAAAAATTGATGATTGATGATAATGATAATAATAATAATAATAATAATAATAGTAATAATAATTATAATTATAATTACAAATTTACTTGGATGTTATGGAAATAATTGAGATGCATCTCTAAACTTTGATGTACCGACTTTAAAGTAATTAGAAAAAGAAACAAAGAAATAAAAAGCAAGAATAACCCTTGATATATTTTATTAATGGGTAAAACATTTCTCCAGTCAATGGAGATAAGTTATTTCCAGTGAACACAAAACGATGTCGTTTTGTGGTGGAAATCAAGGTATTTTTATAATTATAATTTATTGCAGGGGTATATTAGTTTTTATCATTATGATTTTTTAATCTTATAATCTCAAAACGACGTCGTTTTGAGTTCACTGGAGATAACTTTATCTCCAATGGTGACCGGAGATAACTTTATCTCTAGTGGTGACTGAAGAAATACTTTTCCCTTCCTTTGTTAATAACAACAAAATATTGAAGAAAAGATGGCTCAGCCCAAATATATTGAATCTCAATGTCTGAGAAGCATTACAAGAAAGAACAACTTATATTTTCATTCACTATAATAAACAAAATTTGAGAACAAAAATTTAATGGCTCAAACCTCAGTCCGAAGCTTGTCAGATTTTAATACTTCAGCACAACTGAGAGAGCAAAAGAACCCTGCGTTAAATCTAAGAATTTAACACTGATGGTAAGAGTTGGTTGTTACGTATGTTACAAGATGTCTCTGAACCATAGGGATGCAACCAAAATGCTTACAAACAGGAGTGCTATAAACCCATCCTAATTTTCCTAGTTGTTATTATGTATAAAAAGATTCTGTATTCTACCATGTATGCCCTAAAAGCTATTATTTTATGAGGTGCCTAAGCCCATCACCTTCCCAACCAAGCTTTAGCATCTGATCGACCACTTTCAAGCTTAACTGCAAGCAATAAGCAGAACAGTTACCAGACATAGTATATAGAGTATGCTTTAAGAGATATATATATATATATATATATATATATATATATATATATATATATATAGGGCTTATCATTTCTGCAGCCGCCGTAGAGAGTGTTATCTACAGCTGACACAGAAAAGTGGGCCCCACAGCGTTTTAAAAAAAAAAAAAACCAGGATCCGGTGCTGTATCCTGGCTTGCTGTAGGTGCAACAGCTGCAGGAATCATTTTGCCTATATACCGTATCCTTTTTTTTTTTTTTTAAAACGCTGTGGGGTCCACTTTTCTGTGTCAGCTGTAAATAACACTCTCTACGGCGGCTGCAGAAATGACAAGCTCATACATATATATATATATATATATATATGGGGCAGGTTATATTTACAAACTTTTTTGTTTACAAACTCTTACAAACTACTCTAAGTACGACCGGTAATACTTTAATCATGCAGTGTACGACCGATCATTCTTAGTGTAATTTGCAAAAAAAGTTTGTAAACGGATCCTATCCCTATATATATATATTTTATCATTATTGTTAAAAAATGATACATGGATAATATTTCTATTCTTCATTATTCTTTCCTCTAAATTGAGGAGTATATATACAATGAATATTTAACAACCAAGGCATAAAATCAGGAATTGATCTACATAGAAGCTAACAACTTAACAATCAACCTAACAATAAATAACAACTAAATTACAAAATAATTCTATTCTAAACAACTAGTTCCTATCTCTTGGTAACAATAATACAAAATTTATTCCTATTTTCAACACTCCCTCTCAAGTCGATTCATGTATATCAAGCATGCCCAACTTGTCAATTAATCTATCAAACACTTTCACTGAAACACCTTTAGTCAATACATCTGCAAGCTGGTCTTCTGATCTAACAAAAGGTATCTGGATTACTTGATTATCCAACTTCTCCTTGATAAAGTGCCTATCCACATCAACATGTTTAGTTCAATCATGTTGAACCGGATTGTGTGCAACTTCCACAGCTGCCTTGTTATCACAAAAGAGCTTCATTGGCTGATTATATTGGATTCCTAAATCAGCAAGTATACTTCTGATCCAAAGTAATTCGCAAATGCCATATGACATACCTCTGAATTTTGCTTCTGCTCTTGATCTGGCTACTACTTTTTGTTTCTTGCTCCTCCATGTGACTAGGTTTCCTTCTACAAATGTAAAGTACCCAGAAGTTGACTGTCTAGTTGTTTTGTCTCCAGCCCAATCAGAGTCTGTATATCCTTCAATGCAGGCTTCTTTATTTTTCGAATATAGAAGACCATTTCCTGGTGATCCCTTCAGATATTTGAGAATACGGTATACTGCATTCATGTGTTCTTCACTGGGAGAGTGCATGAACCTGCTTACTACACTCACAGAGTAGGCAATGTCAGGTCTAGTGTGTGATAAATATATAAGCTTTCCTACTAACCTTTGGTATCTACCCTTATCCGTTTCAACTTGTTCTGGATATATCCCAAGGGCGTGATTCATCTCAATTGGAGTGTCACTAGGCTTACATGCCATCATTCTAGTCCCAGATAGGATGTCTAGTGTATAATTTCTCTGACACATGAATATTCCTTGTTTAGACCTTGCAATTTCTATTCCAAAGAAATATTTCAGTTGTCCTAGACTCTTCAACTCAAATTCAGCAGCCAATTTTTTTTCCAGGAGCCTCATTTCTTCCATATCATCTCTCGTTAACACCATATCATCTACATAGACAATAAGTATGGAAAATTTTCCTTCATTCCGTTTGATAAACAGTGTATGATCCGAATTGCTTTGTCTATAGCCAAATTTCTTCATTGCAAGTGTAAGTCTACCAAACCACGCTCTTGGCGATTGTTTAAGACCATATAGAGCTTTATTAAGCTTGCAAACTGTATTTTCCTTTGTCTTCACTCCTTGTGGAACCTCCATGTATACTTCTTCCTCCAAATTACCATTCAAAAAAGCATTCTTCATATCGAACTGCTTCAATGGCCAATCTCTGTTGACTGCTATTGATATTAAGATTCAGATGGTGTTGAGTTTAGCTACTGGAGAAAATGTATCTTGATAGTCTATTCCATACTTCTGAGTGTATCCCTTTGCCACGAGTCTTGCTTTATATCTGTCAAGACTTCCATCTGCCTTTAGCTTCACTGTATACACCCATTTACACCCAATTGTCTTCTTTCCTTCTGGTAAATAAGTTAAACTCCAAGTTTTATTGCTTTGCAGTGCCTCCATTTCAATGTTCATTGCTTCCTTCCATTTTGGATCTTCCAATGCTTCCTGCACACTGTTAGGAATAACTACAGAAGATAATTGATCAACCATTAAAGCATATGGTCCAGATAGCCTATGAGATGACACATAATTACTAATAGGATATTTAACTTTCACATTCGGATTTGGTTCATAAGTGGTTCGAGGTATACCTTTATTTTGTCTCTCTGACCTTCTGACTTGTATATCCGGGACAGAATTTTGTATGCTAGGATCAGGTATTACCTCATTATTGGTTTCAGTTTGCTCTTCAGGATTGTCCATGGCAGGAGGTTCAGTTATGAGAGGTAGACATGGTGACCCTTCTGGTGTGGGGTTTTCAACATCAATGGAATTTATATCTAGATCAGCAGCTGAGTTTTCTGTTGAGGTGTTCCGAGGAGGAATGGCACCTGTGAGAATCGGCACTTGGAAGTGAAATTCTTCTTCTGTGGTCTGTTGAATCTCCCCTTGAGAAGAAGAATGGGTGACTCCCCCTGAATAAAAAGCTTCTAATTCCCGAAAGGATGCTTCAAGAGTGACATGCAATTTTTTGGATTTGGGATCGTAACAATGATATCCCTTTTGGAGATCAGAATATCCTACAAAGATGCATTTCTTCGCACAAGGCTCAAGTTTGTTGCGGAGTGGTTTAGGGACATGGATGTAGACAGTGCAACCAAAGACTCTAGGTTCTAAGTTGGTGACATGGGGAATAGAAAAGTATGATTCGAGTTTCTTTTGAGGAGAAAGGAAATTCAGTGCACTTGATGGGGTTCTGTTTATGATATAGGTAGCAGAGAGGACTGCCTCTCCCCAATAGAATGATGGAACATTCATGCCAAATAAGGAGGCCCTTACCACTTCTAATAGCTGTCTATTTTTCCTCTCAGCCAATCCATTTTGCTGAGGTGTATAGGGGTAGGATGTTTGGTGTTTTACTCCGTGAGAGAGCAAAAATTTAGAGAAGGGTCCATTCTTATACTCAAGGCCATTATCTGACTGAAATATTTGGATGGAGCTATTAAACTGTGTTTGGACCATACGATGAAAATTTTTAAACACAGAAAAAACTTCAGATTTGTTTCGAAGGAGTGAAATCCAAACCATTCGAGTACATTCATCTATGAAGGATACACAATAGTAAGAATGGGAAAGGGAAGGAACCTTAGCAGGTCCCCAAACATCCGAATGAATCACTTGAAAGGGGATACAACTCTTATTTGGACTGGGATAAAATGAAATTCGATGGCTTTTAGCCATTTCACAAATAGAACACTGAAATTCAGAGGGATTGCAACTAGAAAATAAACGAGGAAATAACCTTTTAAGGAAAAAAAGAGAGAGGTGTCCAAGGCGTTTATGCCAGAGCCAAATTCCAGAATGAGCAGAGGTAGAAATGCGGACTTCAGAAGGATTGGATGGAAGAACTTTTGTTGCAGAAGCAATGGGTGGCTGGGAAATTCCATCTTCGAGGGTCAGGAAGTATAGGTCGCCACGTCTAACACCATAGCCAAGAGTCTCCTGTGTCTGGACGTCCTGAAACTCACAAAATTTTGGCCTAAAAATGACAGTGCAATTAAGTTGTGATGTCAGTTTACTAACAAAGATCAAATTAAAATCCAGAGAGGGAACCACAAGAACCGAATGAAGAGTTATGGGTTTAGTCAGAGGAATGGTACCCTGACCAGTAATAGAGGCAGTGGCACCATTTGTAGTGGTGACCGTAGATTTGCTACAGGGGAAGCAATGTGTCAACGTAGAGGCATCTTGGATCATATGATCCGATGCTCCAGTATCAATTATCCATGAGTTATTTCTAGAAGTAGCAGAAAAAGCAAAGGGAGTACCTAATATCCCTTCATAAATTGCAAAGGACGCAGGAGGCTGGGTGGTGGAATCATCGGAGATGGGAGGAGTTTTCATCGAAGAGTGATTGTAGTTTTGGTAGCAGTTGAAGTTCGCAAATCGCAAAGCCATGGCCGAAGATTCGGATCGTCCTATCAGGATTATGAACTTTGTCTCTGAAGATCAATTGGTAGAAGCAAAAAGAACAAGGGGTGAACGAGTTGAGGACGGCACTGTCCAGAGGGATAGACCTCTCTACGAGATTCGAAAGGAAAATAAAGACAAAAAAGGATGAGGAATTTTATGAAAAGTTCAAGCATAGACCACCTAAAGCTTTAGATGAAGACGAGACTGAGTTTCTCGAAAATTATGAAACATCAAGGAGGGAATATGAACAAAAAGTGGCAGATGACGAAGCCCAACAAATCCGAAGCTTTCAAGCAGCAGGCGAAGCACAAGGAAGAGATTTTTTATTTTTTTTTTGGTGGGTTTCGGGTCAGGGAAGAAAAAAATTGAGAAAGAGGAATTCAATGGGAAATTTTAGTGTCCCAGGATCGAAGAACCTTTGGTCCATGTTAAAAAATGATACATGGATAATATTTCTATTCTTCATTATTCTTTCCTCTAAATTGAGGAGTATATATACAATGAATATTTAACAACCAAGGCATAAAATCAGGAATTGATCTACATAGAAGCTAACAACCTAACAATCAGCCTAACTGCAAGCAATAAGCAGAAGAGTTACCAGACATAGTATATAGAGTATGCTTTAAGAGGTATATATATATATATATATATATATATATATATATATATATATATATATATTTTATCATTATCATGGTAATAATATTTTGGATAAAATTGAGAGCTGTAGCCTTTTGTTAAGGAATGAAATTTAATATGATTTTGCATCTAATTTTTAGAATAAATGGGGGTCGCACACCAGTCAAAGTCGCACCACACTCGCTAGTGCAATGCAGCAGAATTTGATTTGTGTTATTTGGTCAACAGGCACACAGAAATATCTAAATCTAACATATTGCACAGGTGTAAATTGTGGGACTCCAAATTATATGCGAAGTTGATTACTCTTTTAAGAAACTAGATTGCAAGTAAAACACAGAAGTTTATCCCTTAAGCCAATTTACAAGAATCAGAAAAAAAAAAAAGTATTCACTCCAAGGACACTGCGAATATTTAAAAACAGTAATTCACTCGTAAGCAATGATTGATATTTGACAAGGATCCTTATCAAGAATGATTTAACTTACAGCTGGATCAGTGAAGATAATTAATTGTTTATCCAAAGTTGAAACCAAAAGATTTGTGTTATCCTTATTTAGAGCAAGAGCTGTGATATCCTGTCCTTCTCCCAGCTTTAATACATGAAATACCTAAAGAAAATGGTATAGTAGAGTGGTTAGCATTGAAGAACAGTCTGCAGATGCATAGTAGGATGGAAACAGCTAATGCAGAGTAGTGACTCATATGAGGTTTGAGAGAATCAGAAAGCAGAACACCGCCCCCCAAACCCCTCCCCCACACCCAAATAAAAAAAAAAGCTTGACCACGAAGAACATTTGCATTGCTTCGTTAGAAGTTAGTTAGTTCATTTAAAAACTCAAATCTTTAGGTGTCTTCTGTGATAATTCAAACAAAAAACAAAAAATAAAGAAAGGAAATAAATTAGACACTACACATACAAGGAAGGAAGGAACAGTCATAATTTGATCCTTGGTTCTTACAGAAAGAATGTTTTCTTATGGTGTGTGAAGTGAGGAATACGCAAAAAAAATCTAAAGTAAAGGAAGTTTGCATCTAGAGGAGACAATGGAAGAGTGATGTGAGGTAAAAGGTTTGACTTATTTTTGACATCTCAATTTAAACATCTTAACATTGTACCTCCAGCGTGTGCAAATCCAGGAAGCATATTGAGGGTGATGGAGCATTTATTCTGTTGCTCTCGTGAGTTTCTTCTGATTCTGAATTGAAATCAACAATACCTGACTTACTTGACTGCAAATTCAAACTGTTATTATAGGCTCTACCATTTTCTAGAGAATTAACCCCAATTAAAGCACTCCTCCCATCAACAGAAATTTCCATGCACCTAATGCTGCTAGAGAAAGATATTTCTGTTTTAGCAATCAGAACACCATTAAGAGTAAAGGTACTGAGAGTATGCTGCAATTCATTCCAAGTCATGACAACCCCTTCAGAGGAAAGGCAGACAGTATGGGCCACCACACCATCCAGCCTTCTGACTAAATGTCCCCTTCTTATAGAGTGCAAGAGAACATCGGATGAGTGGGAGCATGAAACAACTATTCCAAGATCTGAGCTGACACAACAACTGAGTATTTCACTGCGGTGCCCCCGAAGTACCTGTATAGGACCCTCAATACGACGTTTATGATTCTTTTCTATCCATAAGTGTGATGAAGAACTGGTGCTGGTAGAAGGCATTGTGCCAGTCCCAGTGGAAGATTCTGACATGACACTTGAGCGAGAAGTAAGTGCCCTATGTATTCTCCAGAGTAATACAGTTGTATCTCGGGATCCTGTCACCAGGAAGTTACTATCAGCTGAAAGACCAAGGCAAGTTACAGGAGCACAGTGCGCATTGGCTGTTTCCAAGGTTTTAGCTCCATCTGAGGATATTACCCGAATGCTATTATCGGCATGCCCACCTAATCAAAAGTAAAATTTTCAAATTAGATGCAAAATACCCAGCCAGTATAAAATAGCACCTACAACCAATGCAGTGCAAGTTGCTTAAATTCTGTGTAAGAGCTGAAAGGAGGAAGAAAACATAATCCAAAACAAAAAAAAGGAATATTTCCTAGAAATAGGATTTCTCATACCCATCTATCATGCTTTATAGGTTACAGTAAATGGTTTCATCATTACTTAAGAGTTTATAATGTTTTTGGCTTCTATAACCATTATGTCTATGATTTTGTTCTTGAAGGCAAGTTCCATTTACAACCGATCAATAAACTTGCCAAAACGCCAGCAAAATTTAAGAATCTATCTAAAGATCTGGCTAAATTTAATATATAGATTGCTGCAATGATTGGTGTTGTAAATATGAAAATATCTGTAATATTTGTTTCTTTTATTAGTCAAATTAATGTTTCATTACTTTTAGGATTTGACTTTAGGCCCATTAATTTCTTTATATATATATTGTTCTCCTTTGTATATATTCTTTTGAGAATTAATAATATTTTTCAGTTTTTCTCCTTTTAAGTTGGCATCAGAACTCGACTTGAGCGCCCCTCTTGCTTCCACAACCACCGCCTTAAATGCAGATACTTTTTTGGATGATTTCCGATCACCTCGCCGCCCTAAGCTGCTACCAAAAAATTTTTCAAGGACTTTTTGGACCAAGAAGACCACCTTTTATCTCAGAGTGTCCCAATCTACTGATCTACGGCAATTTCAAGACCGAAAAAAGACCCACGCACTTCCAATCATGCGTTCAAGCTTCAGTCGTGTTTCCAAACTCCGTCTGGCTACGTTTTCAGTGGATTTCCATCTCCGGTCACCCACAAACAGTGTCTCACCTTCTAGAGTGGCTACTCACCGGAAGCCCAGGCTACCCAGCCATAACAGAGCCCATACGCGCGACCTGCCTCTCTGTGTGAAACCCTAGGTGCATGACGGCTATTGGCGCCTCAGTTTGGTTTCAAACCACTGTGGTTGTGGTAGTCCAGAGTTCAGATCTGCCCTCAACTCCTTGATCAGACACTGTTTGGGTCATAGGTTTTTGATCTCATCATAAAAATCAGATCTTTTTGATTAATCTAACTATTTTATCACTATTTAGGGACCTCCGGTAACTCAAGCAAGTCTGGAGGCTAGTTTGTGGATCCTTATGAATACTTTTAGTAAGATCTCTTACTCTTGCTCTCGTGCTATACTTGGAAAGTACATATATACTCAATCTTTTCTAGCTTCTAGCATTGATTTTGAATGGTTATGGATTGTTGACTCTGGTATAACTAATTATATGACTTGTCAGGCTGATATCTTTTTCTCTTATCAACCCATCACTTATATTCATATTATAATTGTCGTTGATGGATCCCATGTATGAGTGGGTTCTGGTATCATTCAAGTTCAATCTTTCTTATATCTAAAAAATATTCTCCATGTTCCTGAACTCATAATCTTCTTTCCATTTCACAAACTTACCATTGATTTGAATTGTACCGTAACATTCTTTCGTACTAATTGTGTCTTTTAGGATCTCACTATAAGGAGGACAATTGGAGTTGCTAAGGAACATGGTAGGTTGTACTATCTCCTTCAAGAACATATTGCAAGTAGTACTCAGGAACAGTTGCCGGTGGCTCATACCTAGTCCACTTCAGAGTCTATGATTTGGCTTCATCACAAGCGTTTGGGGCATCCACCTTTTAGCCTTCTCAAAACTTTGTTTCCGACCCGATTCAATCACGTGTCTGTTGAATTACTTCATTGTGATGTTTGTGAGTTTGCAAAACACTATCGTACATCTTTTCCTTCTCGCTCGATAAAATGTGCTTAACCATGGCCTCTCTCTTTCCATCTTTCCCTATTACGCAAATCCTTCAATCTCATGTCTTTGGGTGTGTTGCATTCGTCCATATTCATAAACAACACTGCGTTAAATTGGATCCCCAAGCTCTATCTTCGTAGGATATATGCCCCCAACAAAAAAAGGGTAATTGATTCTTGGTATCACTTGTAGCATGCTCTGAAATGAGATAGTAACACCCACCTGCTCCTCAGTGGTTCATGTTTAACCCGTACAACTTGAGCATTAAGGTTTTGGGTTAAGATATGGTGTTGGCTTACTTATTGTGGTTTGTCATTTGACCCATTCGTGAAAGAATCTCTTGCAAAAGGTTTTGAGCTCCCCTATACCGTTCTCAATAGTGGTATAAGAACCAATGGTTTGGCTGAGCTAAGTATTTGGAGATGGTGAAGTTCCAAGGCCTTCATAGAAGGCTAATGTCACTCCAATACTTTAAGAGAAAACTTCTGCAAAAGTTTCCCTTAGGGGCGGTATGATGTTGGGCCTCACACTTGAGGGGAGGATGTTAGAAATATTCAAGTGTGAATGGTGATGAATTCTCACATTGGTTAAAAATAAACCAAATGAGGACCATATAAGTGCGAAAGACCCATAGACCTACAGCCTTAAGGTTTTGGGTTGAGATGTGATGTCAGTCCACTTATTGTGGTTTGTCATTTGCCCTATTCATGAAAGAATGCCTTGCAAAAGGTTTTTGGCTCCCCCATTCCATTCCTAACATTAGCAACTCCAACCGTCCTCCCCATGGTGAGATCCTAGATAAACCAATGAGTAGGAAAAAGGTGACAACATAATTTAGGTCAGTTGTAAGCTTATAAGTGGAGATCGGATTAGTGGAGAGCCAAGGAACATGAAAATCATTTTTTAGAATCAAGGAGGGTTGAATTTGAATGTTACCAAAATACAAAACTGATTTGTGGGATCCATCAGCTATGGCTATAGTATGGATACCACTAGTAGAGTGATATGAAGAAAAGGCTCAGCTAGAAAGTCATATGATCAGTTGTACTAAAATTCATAATCTATGAAACTTTGAAATCGGTGCAAGAAGCAAGAAGAAATGTAGGGTGTGTGATTTTACTAGACATAGCCAAAGAATAAGTGTCTGGAAGCTTACTAAAAGTATCAACGAGTGCCTTAAGTTGATCCAACTCTCCTCGTCGAAAAGTCACATATTGGGATGCTTTACCAAGATTCTCTAAAATTTGTTGCTTCCCATAAAGGAGAAAACACGTGTTTTGTGGGTCCAAACCCGTTATAGTGGATGCACCAACTTTCCATGGACAAAAAAAAGAAGGCAACACAAGAAAGAGAGTGGGTAACTACTAACGCAGTTTTCATAAAACCCAAAGAGCAATGGAAGGGCCAGGACTACACAATGGAGGTCCAAGAGAGCGAACAAACTTGAATCTTGACAAAAAAAGGTCGGATCTTGGCCAAAAAATTGAATCTTTATGCGTGAGGTCACAAACCCATGATCCAAATAATCTCTAATCGACAAGATAAGTACACATATGGAATGAGAAGAATGAGGAGATCCAAGAAAGAGGTGGTTAGAGACGGACGGACCCACGCTCCAGCAGAAGGATAAAGCGTGAATTTCACATGCAGAAGATCCTAACTGCCTGTGACAGTGCGTGGCGCTGCAGGATGTGATGTGCTTCTGGGGAGTTGTCGATCTGGAGGTTGCGACGCTGTATGCATGGTTACCGGAGCTATAATCGAGAAGGTGTGGCTGAAGTGATTTGACATGTTTGACTGGCCTTTTGGATGTGAAATAGCCGTAGAATGAAAGATCTGGAGATTCTGAGTCAAAAAATGTTCTTTTCGTCTGAAAAGGTTGTTGGAAATTTTTTTCCGGTGGTGGCTGGTGACCGGAGATTGTCGGGAAAGGAACTGGCACAGGAGGCAAGACAATAGGCATAAATGAGAGTCTGCACTTAAGGCGGCAATAGCGGAAGCAAGAGGCTCCTAGATCGAGAGCTTTGATGCCAACTTGAAAAGAAATTTGAAATATTGTTGCTATTGTGTAAAAATAGGTACAAAGAATTGCAATATCTATAGGGAAACTAATAGGCCTAAAGGAATAAAAACAAATCCTAAGAAATAAGGAAAAATAATCTAGCTACTAAAGGAAACAAATAATTATGCTCTGTCTATTAATAAATAATTAAATATTGGGAAGTTTCTTAGCATAGCTAGGAAAGAGGACTCTATGCATTATTCACTTTTCAAGCTCAATAATCTCTTGTGTGAGGGGGTGTAGATAGATATAATATAAACCATTAATGGGCATTTTCTTAACAGTTTGACCTTTTGAGTTGAAATGGTTCTTTACATGGTATTAGAACCTCCGTGACTAAATGGTCACAAGTTCAATCCTTACCGTCCCTTGTCTATTAATAAATAATTAAATATTGTCGAGTTTCTTAGCATAGGTAAGAGGGGCCTATGCATTGTCCACCTTTCAAGACTAATGGGCTCTTATATGAAGAGACGTGTTAGGGAAATATAATATAAAAAATCATTAATGTAGCCTAACCTAATAGTTTAACCTTTAGGGTTGAATTAGATCTTTACAGGTACAAATGCTATCATTGTTCGAGGCATAAGTTTTTTTTTTCTCCATAGTTTAATCTAAGACATTCTTCACTCGTCCTTAACTTCAGGGGAGACAAGTTTAAAAGCTTTGTCCATTTTCTTCAAGTCTAAGTCCCACTTACCTTTGCCCAGACTTCTTGAGTCAAACTCGATTGAATCTGTCTCAATTACTACACTACATGATAATTAGCAAGAAGACTTAGTTGACGAGGCTGATAATAAGTAGGAAAGCTTAGTTGATGAGTCTGGTATTACATGTCTCCTCTTAACAATGTACAGAAGGATGAGACACCCAAATTATTATATAAGGGGAAGAAACAACTCATACTATCCCACCAGAAACTACAATCGCCTGAACCATTGATAAGCACATTACTATTTCTATTCCTAAGCCTAATATTATAAATTCAGATGACTTACTCATTGCCTTAAGGGAAGAGAAAAGATCTTGTACCCAACACCCTAGCTCTCATTTTGTCTCTTCTAAGAAACTTTCTATGCAACATAAAAAATTTATTTCAGCACTCAATCCATTTCAATCCCGACATCAGTTCATAAAACATTAAAAGATAAGAATTGAGTAATAGCCATGCATGTTGAGAGTAATGTCATGGACAATACCAATGACTGATAGGAAGATTGATATATCTAGATCATACTAGATCTGATCTACCTTTTGCAGTTAACATTGTTAGTCAGTTCATGCATGACCCAAGGGAAAAACATATGCATGCAGTAGGTAGGATTCTCCAATTCCTTATGTCCACTCCAGGCATAGGATTGTTTTTTCCAGAAAAGGGGAAACCTATCCCTAGAAATTTATTATGCTGGGCCTGTAACTGATCAACGATCTACTTCGCGCTATTTTATTTTTGTTTGTGAAAATCGAGTAATATAAAAGAGTAAAAAGCAAAATGTGGTTGTTCGGTCGAGTGCAAAGGCAAAATTTCGACCCATGGCCCAAGGTATTTGTGAATTATTATGGCTGAAAGTCATTCTAGATGATCTCGTGGTGAGATGTGAAAGACCTATGAAGTTATTCTGTGATAAGAAGTCAGTTATCTGTATAGCTTACAACCCAGTCCAACACGACCGAACAAAACATATTGAGATCGACCATTACTTCATCAAAGAGAAACTAGATAGCGAACTTATAACTACTTCATATATTCCTTTTGGTAGTCAACTAGCTTATGTCTTGACCAAGGGATTTCCTTGACAGATTTCAAGAACTTACTAGCAAGCTGTGAATGATAATTATCTATTCCTCAGCTTGACGTTGAGTGTTGTACATATGAAAAATATTTATAATATTTGTTTTCTTTATTAGTTAGATTAGTGTTTCTTTATTTTTAGGATTTGGCTTTAGGCCCGTTAGTTTCTCTATATATATCATTCTCCTTTGTACATGTCTCTTGAGAATCAATAATATTTTTTAGTTTTTTTCCTTTCAAGTATTGGTCTATTTTGTTTTGCTGCTGCTTCAATTAATGGGTATTTGCAAATACTTGAAGAGTTTGGAACTAGTTTAATTTAATTTTTAAGATTTGAATAATTTTTTTCTCCGCATTCTTGTACCTAAATCTTTTTTTAACAAGTATTCCTCTTTTATTGAACAAAACAGGTGCTAGTGCATACTTGCAATGCTGCGTAGAACTTTATGTCGTTTCTAAAAGCTACTAGAACAAACAAAGGAAATACCAAGTGCTGTGTTAGAGATGTAATATAAAAATATTTATGTCTTTTTATCTAACAACTTAACCTTCTTGGATAGTTGGTTTATGACATGATATCAGAGTCTCTATGACTTTCCATTATTTTAATAAGAATTTGAATTTAAACAAAAGATTGGTGGTTTCGTGCATTGTTCAGGCCTATGTCGAAAAGGCTTTTGCAAGAGGAGATGTATTAAAGATTAATATAAAACCAATCATATGTCTTCATCTAATAACTTAAGTTTTTGGGAGAGTTGGTTCATGAAGTAATTTAAACATCTAGAAAAGCCCACATGTTCATCCCCTAGAGAAATATTCTTAAAAATTGATAAATGGTGTTATCCAAAATACTCCCTATGTTGCTAGGCATACTTATAAATCCACTCTGATGATTAGAAATTGGGAAATAATTGTCTCATTTTGCATGAGATAATCATCTCATGCAACAGAGACAAAATAGTGGGGTCCACTATTTTTTCTTTTTTTTCTTTTGAGTAAATACCCTTTTTGGTCCTCAGCAAATTTCACGATGCCCGTTTCAGTCCCTAGCAAATAAAAAGGCCCATCGTGGTCCCTAAGAAATTCAAAATAGACCCATTTAGTTGAAATCGTGGTCCCTCACAAATTCAAAAAAGACCCATATTAGTCCCTAAAAGGACTAAAATGGGTTTATTTTGAATTTCTTAGGGACCACGATGGCCCTTTCTATTTGCTAGGGACTAAAGCGGGCATCATGAAATTTGCTGAGGATCAAAAAGAGTATTTACTCTTTTCTTTTTTTGAAAAGTAGTGGACCCCACAATCTTATCTCTGTTGCATGAGATAATTATCTCATGCAACATGAGATTAATAGATCCCTTAGAAATTATATGTTAACTATTTATCTTGATATCAGAGATCATTTCACAAAAGAATACTAGAGGCAACATATCTTAACAATCCTAGCTTGTCTAGATTTACCAGTAATAATTTCTTTGTCGCATGTTATAGAAACGATAGCTTGGCTTCTAATTCCAGAAACAGGAAATGCCAACGCTTGGGGAAATTGCCACTCTTCACCAGTCCCAGCAGGCCCTTTGAGCATGCGCATAAGTGTCCCACCAGCAGAGCCAGATGTAGCTTTCCCATGTTGAAAGAGGAATGGAGTACCTTTGCCATCTGGTGTATTGGGTTGCCACTTGTGTTGGGCAACATGAGCTGCTGGTGCATTCCAATCAACAACCACAACAACATCTGAAGATGCGTGAATGGCAGCCGCAGGTAGATTGCAGTGTTCAGGGGATGGAACAACAAATAGTTTGACTGCTTTTGGGTTGCGGAATATTGTCTGACATGCAAAGAAATGTATGCATCATCACTATAATCACATGCACTCATTATCAATGGTTGAGGAAACATCAAGCAATAGAAGGGCATTTCAAAAACATTTCATCACAAAGGTTTTGGACAAATCTTAAAGTGACACCATCTTGTACTTACATAAGTCTACCAATAAGTACCGTAACACAATTGGAAACAATAAGAGTCAGAACTAATCAAAAGAGATAAATGGGGCTTTCGTTCTAGCTTGATGTCTAATCCAGGTTCATATTTTTTGCTCTCCTTTTAATGCTAGAGGGGGTTGGGAAGGGCTTTCCTTCTCACTTATTAAAATCTATTAAATAAAACTTGAGTTTAGGATATAATAGAGCTTGTTTGGATTCTCTTTTTTTTAAGCTAGAAGTTACTTTGAAGCTAAAGCTTAAAAAAGAAGAAGCTAAAAGCTATTTGGATATTTGTTAGCTTAAAAATACATATTCCAAGAAAGACCCCCCTCCCACTTTCTCTCTCTATTTCCATGGCTCTTCATTTAAAAAAAAAACACACAATTCAAGAAAAACCAATAAAAGCTTTAAAAAAAGCCTTTTTTCTTCATTATACAAAAAAGAGCTTTTTATTATAAAAGCTTTTTTCAAAACTTGTTTGGCTTAATTTCTACTTATAAAGAGAATTGAAACAGACACATATAGTTAGAGGTGTCAAAATGGGTTAAAGCTCGCGGGTCAGCCTGCAAAGCATTATATTTGACCCTAACCCATTAGGGCTTTTTTTGTGGTAGGGCCTGTTTCAGCCCTAACCCTCAAAGCCCTAAAATTTAGCTGGCTGGGTTAGGGCTGACCCGCGGGCCAAACTTTTTCTTTAATTAAAATTTTCATTATTTAAAAAACTAAAAATTATATAAATTTAAATATTTTTAAATATAAGTAGGAATTGTAGTGAATTTGATGGAGAATATAAGAAAAAGTGAAATATGAAAGAAAAGAAAATGAAGTGTAGAAAAAAAATAAAAGAAAGAATAAAATAAGAATAGTTATGAGCAAAGAGTCTAGGACCTATCTTAGATGCATTTTTAAACGTGGAAGTCATGAAAAAACAAAGAGTCACATGTTATGAACCATGAGAAAGATCATTCATAATCCATGTGAAAGGTCATGCATAATCTATGTGAAAGGTCATCCATAATCCATGTGAAAGGTCATCCATAATATTTTACAATACCCCTTTGGATGTATTCTACAATTCAACTCACCATTAGTGTGATAATTATAGAATATATCAAATGTCATGAAAAACAAAAGAGTCATGTGTTATGAACCATGTGAAGTTCATCCATAATATTTTACAACAAAAATTAATTTTTCAGTAGTGATATATTTTAACAGAGATTTTCATCTGCGCATCAATAAAAATAAATTTTTTATTGACATCTAAGCATGTTATACATCCAAATTTGTATTGAAACATATTGTATACAATGCACTTTGTTAATTTTGTGAATAATAATAACTAAAAAGTTTTTTGTAACGATAGTAGTTAAAGAAAATCAATTATTTTACTTTCAAATATATAACATACTAAGAGCAGTTATTTAATACTGGTATTAAGATAATTTTTCCATCATTACTTTTAGTTTTCTACTATAATTGTTGTATTTACTCCCGTGAGAAAATCTTTATTTGATGGCATCATTTAATAATGAATTTAGTAAAAGTAATAACTAAATTTTAACTTATATTAAAATTTTGTTTACATTTTCACTTGTATATTTATGTACAAATTTTATTTTATTAAAAAATTAAGTTATAAAAAATTTATAATTTGTATAAAATATGCTAAGAAAGTGTTAAAAATTCTTTTGTTAAAATATTTTTTAATGTATTAAATATGATAAAAAAAATTGTGAAATTATAATTTTGGATGACCCGCGGGCTGGCCCTAACCAATAGGGCTTTTGGCCCATGCGGGCCTTGATTATTGAGATTCATCTTGCCCTGCGGGCTTTTTGGCCCTAATCCACACGGGCTAGGGCCAAATGGAACGGTTCGGGTCATTTTGACAGCTCTACATATAGTACATGATTGCTAGTAGCTACTTTTACTTTAAAGCAATTGCTACTAATTATATAATATAAACCACTAAAGAGGCTCTCACCTAATAGCTTAAGCTTTTGGGTTGAATTTGTTCTTTACATGGTATCAGAGCCTCGATGTCTCAGGTTCGATCATCGCCGCCCCCCATTTTCTTTGTGGAATTTCTTAGCATAGGTAGGCTGGGCCTGATGCATCATCCACCTTTTAAGCCCAATAGGCTCTATTGTGAGGGGCCGTGTTAGAGATATATAAAACCATTAATGTAGCCTCACCCAACAACTTAAGCTTTTGGGTTGAATTGGTTCTCTTTATAAAGATAATATGTAAAGTCCACTTTCTATATATATATATATATATAATTACGCATATTAATTATATGTTCTTCATAATATTTTTCACGTTATATCTTTTTCAGTTTATGTTAAAAAGCTACCTTAATTTTGTAAAGAAAAACTCGTGTAAGATTATTTAGCTTTAAAAAGTTTTTATTATTACATATATAGAAGCATTTAACAATTAATAATGAGTGACCTTTTGTTTCAAAAATACATAATGGTATTAAGTAAATAGTAAGTCAAAGATAAAAAAATGAAGTGGGGTTTAAGTTTTGGTCAAGTTCGGAGTTCTCTATCAAATTGACAAACTTCAAGGTAGTAGAGTAATATTTACTCATAATGAAATTTATTTTGCTCCTAACATTATTGTTAGAAAATTAATATAAAAGCATTCATATATCTTTATCTAACAACATAAGTTTTTGAGATAATTGATTTATGAAATAATATGAAAGCCTCTATGACCAAAAGGTCTTGTCGAGTCTCGAGTTCAATCTTTGTTGCCCCGATTCTTTTACAAACAAGGTAGATAGGTCTATGAATTATTCAAACTTCAAAACCAAAGGGCTATTGCATTAAGGAGGTGATTTAGAATTATAATATAAAACTATTCATATATCTTCATCTAATAACTTGAGTTTTTAGGATAGATGGTTGATGACAATTATAAACCAAAACTAAATAAATCAGTCATTGCATGGCTAATCATGAATTACCACTTAGGCTGATGATTTCTGTATATAAATATATAGATATTGTAAAGAACCAATTCAACCCAAAAGTTTAAGTTGGTGGGTGAGGGCTTTTTAATGGTTTATACTATTCTCTAAAACGCCCCCTCATACGAGAGTCCATTGGGCATGAAGGGTGGATAATACATCAGGTCCAGCCTACCTGTGCCAAGAAATTCTACAAGAGAAAATGGGTCGGTGAGGATCGAACCCGGAATACGAGGCTCTGATATCATGTAAAGAATCAATTCAACTCAAAAGCTTAAGCTGGTGAGTGAGAGATTTTTAATGGTTTATACTATTCTCTAATAGATATTACAGAAGTCAAATAAAACACAAGGATAAGAATCAAGGGAAGCCATACTAAAGCAAGCGCAAATGATTGCTCAGAAAGTTGTAATTGTATCAATCAGGGTATCACTATCAAACCAATACAATCAATAGTTACCTGTAAATGCAGAACTTCTGCTAACGGCATCTTCTTCAAGTGAGGAACAGTCAGAAGTTGGGATGGTGTTTGTCCAAAATAAGCAATCTGATCTTGTGTGGCACGCTGTTGCACCTTGTCATGCACATAAGAAAGTAATAAGTTACAGAAACATGAATAAATTATGATGTGGTTGCGGTCTGAAGCGCTATTAAGAACGATTCTTGTAAATGTTTTACAAAAATGCACTCCACATACAAATTTATGATGCGTAAAGAGAAATATTATATTGCTTTCTTTTGGTCCTTCAGAAAATCAGTAAATACACAATTTAGTCCTTGAAAGATATACCTTATATGCTTTTAGTCCCTCAAAGTTTGTTATATACAAAATCGTCTCCAAATTTCTGCAAGTACTTCAAGTTAGTCTTTCCGTCAATAGGTCTTCAAACACCCTAACGGAAGCACACAAATGTGAAGTTACGAGGGAGACACATGCACTTAACATGCCAAATCAACTTCTCTTCTAGGGTTTTTGAAGACCAACTTAAAGAAAGACCAACTTGTTAGAACTTATAAAAATTCCAAGGCCAATATACAAGCAAACTTCTAGGGAATAAAAGTATGCAACATATATCTTAGTGACCAAATTGTGTATTGTGTATTTAAGAAAATTGGAACAAGATACAAATTAGGGGTCAATGACAATTTTAAGCTTGTTTGGTCAAACTTGCTAGAAGCAATAACTGGTCAAATTTCCAAGGACTAAAAGCACACAAGATATATCTCTCGATGACCAAATTGTGTATTTACTCTTAAGAAAATTTGAACAACAGACAATAGAGGTCACTGGATGATTTTAAGCTTGTTTATTAGTCAGAAGAGCGTAGTTACTAGTTGAAAGGGCATGATTTGACTAGAAAATGAACATCATAAAAAATGGAGTTTTCATGGTGAAAGTTATTGTCAACGAAGATGAATAGACCTGGGCATGGTACACTAATAGTTAAAGATATGAGATTCAATTTGATCTGATATTGGCTATTTGAGCTAGCTTTGTGTAGAAAATGTAAATGGTGCACTGAGAAGAATAAGAGAGATTTGAGAGTGAAGGCACGAAAACAAAGAGAAAGAGAGAGAGCGCAAGAGATTCTGAAAGTGTGATTTCAATATTATGAATAACTTGTACATAAAGTGCTGTATTTATAGACTAAGATGTAGACTAGGTTCTAAACTATAACAGAAACAGTTAGAGATAGTTGTAACAGATTGACAGCTGTTGTAACAGTTACTAACAGCTGTTGTAACAGTTATAAACTGTTGTGATATATTTGGCAACAGAATAAACTAATCGTAGTCCTAGCTGAGCTGAAAACTAAACACTCGGCACATTCTCATTCTCTAGCAGTCCCCTCTCAAGCTCAGAATGGTTGAGAAAGGTGGAAGTGATCAAACACCCTGAGTTTGTCCATTAGGCGAGAAAATCTAGACTCAGAAAGAGCCTTAGTTAGACAATCACCTAGTTGATTCACAGAGGACATGGGCAACTATCAAAAACTCTTGTTGACGACCTTTTTCCCCACGAAGATGTCTAACTCCATAGTATTGTACGAGTCTGGAAAACTGTATTCTAGGAAAGAGATATTATGCACAAATTATCACAGTAAATAATTGGAGTGGTGACTGGACATGCAATTTTTGGAGCCAGATGTAGAACGCGGGTCATCAAGGTTAGATGCCCAGCTAGCATCACAAAAAGCCCGAAGAGAAAAAGGAGGCATGCGAGCAGCAGATTGGAGGAGGAAGCCATGTTGAGGAGTGCCCTTGAGATATTTAAGGATGCGTTTGACAACCTGCCATTGTGATTTTGACGGGCTTTCAATAAAATAACCAAGCCCATTAGTTAGGAATTAATATAAATAGAGATGTTTAGGGTGAGATTTCATTATGCATGTATTCAATTCTGGTTTAGTGGGGAAATTGAGAGACCTCTAGAGAACTCTTGAGCCTAGGTATTTGGTTGAAGGGGGAGTTGAGGCTTTCTTGGTGTTTATTTTCTGCATATTAGTGTATGTAAAAAGAGGCATGGCCTCCATTATCTCTATAATTCCAGTGTTATTTTTCTGGTTCCATCAATTTGGTATCAGAGCACTTCCGATGTAGGGGTGCTTTCTGGTCCAGATCCAACAAAAAAAAAAAGGAAAAAGAAAAATAGAAAAAAATCGAGCAACAAATCCAGAACTGATACAATGGTTCCAACATTTTATGGAGAAGGAGATGATGCTTGGGGATGGCAAATTGCTATGGATCAACATTTTCAAGAAAAACAAATAAAGGAAGAAAATGAACAATTGGCAGAAACTCTGAAGGGGCTTAAAGGATGTGCGTTCTACTGGTCTAGGCTTTGGAATCTTAACAATCCTAATGCAAAATTGTGGGATTTTACCAAAGCATTTATAATTAAATATCTACCTGAGATTTGTGTGGTAGATGAAGAAGAACGACGCGAAGATGAAGAACCAGATCGCGGAGCAGAAAAACAAATCAGCAAAGAAGAAGAAGAAATCAGCAACGAAGTAGAAGAAGGTCAAAACTCCGAAAGAGAAACAGAAGAAAGGAAAAAAGACGAAGGAGAAGGAGAATGAGACGCTAAGGCATATCAAAACTCAGAAAAAAAAAAAAAATAAAGGAAAAAGAAGAAGATACCACAATAAATGAAGAAGAAAAAGGTGATGAGGAAATAGAACAAGAGAAAGAGGCAGCACACGATGAAGAATAGCAAACAGAGGAGGAAGTTTCCAACTCAAATCCAAATAGCAAAACGGAAGAAATGCAAAAGAAATCAACGACCAAACTAGATATGGAAATCAAGGAAGGAGAAGAGCAGAACGAAATAGACAAGGCTCGTGGGACTGCAGCCCAGTCTTAGCACAGTGGTGTGAGAGAAAAGACGTACAGCGGCGAACGACAAGGAGAGCACACGAAGTGGAGGGTAACAGAAAAAGAGAGGGTTGAGGCGGATGTGATTTTTTTTGGGTCAAGTGGAGGTAGGGCGGGGCACCATTCACGCCCAACTTTGGCCCATCAAGACAACACAGGGACTGGGCCCAATTCTTCTAGCAATGTTGATCGAAATGGGCTTAATCGATTTGGGCCCAATTCGGTAAGAACTCAAATTCAGATTAATGAAAGAAGTGGGTCGTACTCTAAGGCTCCAGTTTCCGTTCGTGAAGCAAGAAACAACAATGGAGGAGGGCGAGCGGCACTACGAGGAGTAGCGACGGAGGACGACGGGCGAAGAGGAAGTCATGGTTCGCGAATTTGTCGTCTAACACAAGAGGAGGGGGACGATCAAAGAAGGATCATTTTTTCTTTCAAGTGTAGTGCCCTTTTCCTTTCTGGGCATGTCTGTCAACCTTCTCATTTGCATGAGATGATTATGGGTGAGGGAAAGGAGAAGCCAAACGATGAAGATGGGAGACTACAATGCTGGAGTCAGCAATTTGAGGCTCATTTGCAGACCCTAACCTCAAAAAAAGTTACTAATATTGCACCTGTGGTTCGTCGATTTGGTCTTAACAGAAGTGGAACCCTTATGACTAGCAACTTTGTAGTTGAAAATGATGTGAAGGATCTGAAGATGTGGCCTGAGGCATATTTTATGCAGTTAAATGGAACTCATAACAAGATATTGTCGTTTAAGGAGTATATTGGTGACACTGAAAACAGAACACTAGAGGGTAAAAAAGGCACAACAATTTGTAAGGCTGCAGCACGACTTAATGGCAGTTTGTGTACTTCAAGCATACCTGGGTCTATATGCTTCCAACAATGGGATCCAGGTGAAAGTTTTTCTCACGTTACCTATCCTCTCTTCACCTTGAGGACAAGGTGAATTGTGGAGGGGGAGTATTGATGGGCTTTCAATAAAGTAACCAAGCCCATTAGTTAGGAATTAGTATAAATAGAGATGTTTAGGGTGAGATTTCATTATCCATGTATTCAATTCTAGTTTAGTGGGGAAATTGAGAGACCTCTAGGGAACTCTTGAGCCTAGGTATTTGGTTGAAGGGGGAGTTGAGGCTTTCTTGGTGTTTATTTTCTGCATATTAGTGTATGTAAAGAGAGGCATGGCCTCCATTATCTCTATAATTCCAGTTTTATTTTTCTGGTTCCATCAGATTTCACGGATTGAGCCATATATTGGCAGACTTTGTTCACACTATAGGAAAATTCAGGCCTGGTGATAGTCACACTTGTATAGTTGAGGGCTCTCAAAATAATCACTCCCATGTTTGTTGAGTTTACAACCTCCTATCATAGGGGTAGAAATGCCTTTGGCCTCACTCATGTGAGCTTTAGCAGTTTAGCTGGGAGATCCCGAGTATACTTAGCCTGAGAAAGAAGTAGACATCCATTTGCAACATTTTAAACCTCAATGCCCAGAGCCTAGCTGCTTGAGAGAGAAAGCAGAATTAAGTATGAAGATAAGCTGCTTGATATGCTGTGGAGAGGAACTAGTGACCAAGATGTCATCAATATGGACTAACACATAAAGGCAGTAAGTATTGCCGTTGAGAATTAACAGAAAAAGATCACATTTGCTTGAGATGATCCCAAAGCAAAATAAAGTGTTGGCCAGTCTACAAAACCAGGCCATAGGGGGCCAATTAAGCCCATGAAGTGCCTTATTCAACTTGCATAGCAAAGACTTGTTGGAATCCTCAAAGTCAGGGGGTAGTTGCATATACACCTAATCTTCTAACAAGCCATTGAGGAAGGTATTATTCACATCCAGTTGCTGAATAGGCCAACAACGAGTAAGGGCCAAGGTGATAACAATCCAAATAGTCACAGGATTCACTACAGGAGAGAAAGTCTTAGTTTAGTCAAATCCAGGTTGTTGAGGGAACCCCTTGGCCACAAGGGAGAAGGGACAAGAACATAGAATAAGGAGAAGAGAAAAAAGGAGGCTGTCAGTGATATAATCAAACCAGTCATGTGCCTTCACCCAACATTAAAAGTTTTAGTTTTTTATATTGCCTATAATAGGCTTAGGTCACTGTATTATGAATTTGTAGAATATTCTAGAGTTTTCTACTTGTTTCTAGCTACTTGTTCCTTTGAGTAGTGTGA